TTAATCTACTTATTCTAATTACTATAAAACTATAACAAATAATAATAAATAACAGATAAAAATATATATAATATATACAGTAGATGATAATACATATAAAGAATAATGAAAAAAATAAAAATAAGAGAAAGAAACAAGCTAACACTATGTAACGGAGGCGTAAAATATTATTTCCACAATTAATAATCTCACTGGGAAATATTACGAGGTCGAGAGTATTCAGAGTATTCTAGAAACCTACTAAAATAATTTTAATCAAATTGTCATTGAAATCGAATCACTCCGAAATGAATTTAATCAACGCCATGCATTGTCCGAATTGCCGATAGGAGAGGTTCCAATTAATCTGAAATTTCTTCTGCAAGTTTTTTGTCAGCATACTCATCTTCTGGAAGTTCTTCAAGTAAGAGTCAGAGTTAATTAACGTCTTAAAGTCTTTAGGTATAGCTCTGCTAATGCTTAACATACAAGATGATTGATCAATATTTTTTTAATTACAGGTTTGGCTCCAATAACATTTACCGGTATTAGCTTAACTGTTTGGAACCAATTTAAGCAAATTTTTAACAGAATCAAAACCGAAAACAGATATACCTTGGAGGAGATGTGTCTTAATGTGGTGATAGATATTCACACGCTTGGAGAGAATATTAAGAAAATAATAGTAAAAAGTTTTTACAAAAGAAATATTAAGAAGAGGAATGGTTACATTAGTATATTAGATCAGATCGGTTTATGAATAGATAGTAAAAATAACTTAGCTAGTAATATGGAGTAAGGAAAGGAACCGTCATTTTTACAATGTAAAAGGTTTAGGATCCGACAGACATTTATACTTTATTCTATCCTCTTTGTCCTCTACTCCATGAATAATTCTACAAGGCCGACCTTTTACAATGTCATGTAGTATAAAAAATAATGTTGAAATATACTTATTATCAATAAAGTTATCAATTATTTGTTATTTTTATTTTGTAATTCATGTTTTGTAAGTGACAATAATCGAGTATAAAATCTATATGTATGTGATAAAATGTCACGATCAGAAAAAATAGCACATGATATATGATTCGAAGAATTGAAAAAGAACGTAATTTTTGCTCTTTGAGATCTGAAATAAATTTTGCTAGTGTTACTGCAGGTCCAAATGCTAAACTGATCTTGTGAAATTTCTCTTCTGTTAACTCCAAAAAAGATAAACCAGTAATTTCTTCTTGCCAGAAAATTTCAAAATGGGACTCCTTAAGTTTTAAATTTTTTCTTCGCAAATATTTGATTAGCTTGTCAGTATTATAATCCTTAATTACGTCCACCATGATGTGGATTATTATTTCTTCATTAGAAGTTATACTTGAGGATGAAGTCAGTTCTGAAGACATAATATAACTTTTATATTTATATGTGATGTTGAAATCTGGTTTTATGTACTACGTCATATGTATCAAAATAGAAAAATGAAAATTTATTTTGTTTCCATTTTTGGTAGATCAAATCCTTTATATTGCTTAAAAAGTTACACTAGAGAAGTCAAAAGATGGAATATGCATAGATCTCAGTGATTACGGAAATAGTGAAGAGTTCAAAGTCCTATAACCTGTTAATAGCACTAACAAAAATTGGTATACTATTCTCTGTTATTGCCTTTTCAAGTTTCGTTTGCATGTATTATTATTATAAAAGCAAAGAAGTTTTTTCTAGGCAAAAATTAACAATCCAGTTTATGTGAAAAAATGAAATATATGAAATCTGTTACACAGATGCAGTAGCACAGATAGTGTGGTAAATAATTACTGAAGTTTATATAAGTAACTTCATTTAAGTTTTTTACATATTTTTGCAATATATATATATATGTATATTTCAATTATACAAAAATTGAATTATGCAATAGACATGTATATTGTAGGTCAAAAATGCTAAAATTGTTAAATATATTATAGGTCAAATCACCTTAAACACAACATTATCTAAATCTTATATAATCGATAAATATGTCTGGTTTTGATATTGCAACTTTTCTCGATAAGAAAAATAGAATATTACCCAAACCCTTTAATATTCGTCTAGATTTTGATATGAGGTATGTTAACTTGTATATTCTAAATTATTTTGGCATTAATGATAATCAACGATTCTTTGATACACTCTTTGATAATAAGAGATCATTTGACACTTTATCTACCATAAAACAGAACGAAACACCATTTCAGTAGAGTTTACGAGTTAGAGTACCTTTACAGAACTTATTAAACACTGGAAAATTTAGTATATATCACTGGCTATATTTATTCTTGTCATTTGATCAAGGTAAATTTGTTAATTCCTATTATTATAGACTGAGAATTCATAAGAGCCATATAACAATTTGTTTTGGTTACTAGAAACTTGTAAAAATTAATAATATATAATCTAAAAAATCATTCCATTTTACTAGGCAAAGGTATGTTGATCGTCTTAAACCTGAAGACCTGATGCAGGAGTATTGGGATCACGAATGTGATAAACCAAAAACTGATTTCAGAAAAGCAAGAATTATACAAAGTGCTTGGAGACGATTCTGAGAAAAAGAGCCATCAAATGTACGACTTGTTTGGAATAGTTTGCCAAACGATGGTATTCTGAATAATAAAAAACTTTTAGGTTTAACTTGACGTAAAGTGAAAAATCCTTAGACTCGAGAACAATTTAATCAATGGCATACTAAATAAATAGAAATTTATAAACAATGTAATTCTAGTATTCCTTCAAATATTTATGTTAGAAAATATGTAGATTATTATATTTCAGATAATTAGATAAACTCTAAAAAGAGTCAATTACGAGAAAGATTCAGAAAGCAACTTTTAGAAATAGAAACATAGTATATACTTAATTAATTCATATGTAATTTAGTCATATAATTTATTGTTTTTTACGTATATATTCAGCAGGTCCGGAGGGTACCTCTATGAGACATAATAAATATATTTTTACATATGCAATAACTCCTATGTGAATACAGATAACGAATCAATTATTTATCGCAATAACGAATTCCCATATTTCATAAATTCGTACATATGATATATTATAGTGGAGCTAGTGTCAAGATACATATTTTTAGCTAGATTCGGTAATACCTTTGCTGTATCCTTGGCAGTAATTATATCACTAATTGCTTTGGGTAATAAGTGTGTAGCACCTGTTCTTAATTTATATATGCAGAAAAAATTTATTTTGTGATTCATAATTGAGTGTTAACACAACATATTAAAATTATTAGTTACACTATAATGCAGTATAAATCATGCAAAACATCCTATATATGAACTTTTGTAGGTTTTTTTTTCGCTATTTAGATCATAATAATATTTTGCTTCACTCTTGTCTTCAGAACATGTGAAATCTAGCACTAGTAAAGTTTTTTCAATCTTTCCGCATATCTCAATATCCTCACGAAGTGAGACTTCTTCACTTACCTTATTTTCATCATCTAGCTCTAGTAAAGTTTTTTCAATCTCTTCGCGTATCTTAACCTCCTGTAAAGATTCGTCTTTCCTACTTATCTCGTTAACATCATAGGAATTGCTGGAAGTAGATACGGAGTGACTAGAGATTTGAGTCATATTATTAAACGATACTTCAGTAACTGAGACACTTACCTCGGTATTGGATAAAGATTTGAGATCCTCAGTTGAGATCACATGATTTTGATCGTTTCCTTGGGAAACAGTTTTTGAAGTTACTTGATTTATAATGTTTTGAATTTGTGTATTGGTTAATTTTGAAATATTATTTGTACTGTAGATAATATACATAACTTTATTAATTTCAACTCCATTTTCTTCAAATAACTTACGAATTTTTCTGGCCCTAAGAGTTTTAATTCATAAGGCAACTGATGTAACATCTGGTAAATGTTCTAATATCTCTTTGTATATTTGGGTTCTTGTAGTTTTAGCACTAACTCCTGTCTTATGTCAAATTTCGATAACTTTATTCTCAAAATTATCTGAATAGCGAATTCAGGATAAAATTTTTTCATATCCAGATCGTATAGTTTTTCTAAACAAATTGATTAAGCTTTGTGTTGTGATTTTGCTGGAGATAGTCATAAATTGACTAGATGATGATTTTTCATGACTCAAAGAGTCTGGGTTCTGCCCATTATTCATGATATCTTCGGGAGGTGTTTCTATAGGATCAGGTATAATAATAAATATACCATTCTGTAAATCTCGTATTAAATCTAATTCTATATTTTGATTTTTAGTAAGCTCAATTTCATCAGAATCATCAAAATCCTCCACTGGTAAAGAAATATTTGTGATTGTTTTTTGCTAATTGTTTCCCTGGAAAACAGTTTTTATATCACATAATGAATTATTATTGTTTTGCAATGGGACTATGTCTCTATCTGAAGATAGGTCTTGATCCTGAAGTTTCTTTTTTCTAATCTTCTCCATTATCTCTTTACTAACCTGTTCCTTATATACTGTTTCTATAAAATCTAAGGTCTCAGCTGTATCCTTATCAATAATATCATATGGCAAAGAAGTAATAGATACTTCAGGATTTGTTAAAGATGAAACGGAGACTTGAGACTTTGTCTCTTCAAATTGCATTAAACTATGTTCTAGTTCAGGTATAGGATCGAGATTAATATCTCCCACCTCATCAGTTTGACCCGAGATAAGTGACAAGATTAAAGACTCCTCTTGTTCGTTAGTAATACTTTGGATCTGTTTTTGTTCCAATTTTGTGATTCTATCTTTAAGCTCAATATTCTCAGTTTTAAGATTTACGGTATCTGATTTATACGTGTTGCCCAAATCCCAAATTACTAGTATTTGGAATTTGGAATTTGGGATTTCGGCATTTGGGATTTCGGCATTTGGATTTTGAATTTGGGTGGCAGGTATAATCTAATTTATATCACTCCAATTTCACAATTCTAGCCATAAGCTCATCTTTCTCTTTCACAGTTTGTTCCAATTCTGCAACTCTAACCAAAAGCCTGGCATTCTCTTGTTTCAATAGATCTAGTTTGGATTTGATATTTCCCATTGTTTGTATAAGATACGAATATATTTAAATAAAATTCATAAAAAAATTATTGATTATATATTACATTACACAAAAAATAAAACATGATGAATTGTACGTCCCTCTAATCAAAAAATCTTTATTAATAAAATATAGGATAATAATACATGATAAAATATACATTAAAAATACATGGTAAAATCTATCTAATTAGGAATTTGGAGGAGGGGATGTTACTGTCGAACTATCTAAATTTCTATTCGATCTGTGATCATGTGCATTACGTAATAAAGACATATTAACCATTAATGTATTATGGAATAATAATAAAGTATATATAAAATCAACTAAAATAGAAGGATCATTGAAATATTGAATAGAGATTTCTGTTTCATATATTTTATAATATCGAAAGATTTCAAGCTCATCTCTAATAAGAACATTCAAACTCAACTTACATCCAACTACCTATATTCCAATAATGTCAAATTGTTCTTTTTCCAACCTACGACTTTTTTGCATCCAGAATAATTCATCATTACATTTACACCATAATTTTATATCATTATTTTCTTCTTTCTGTTTAGTACAGATGATCCTGGAACACTCCACATACATTAATTCGTAATATTTATCATCTTCCTTACTTATAAACATAATATCAAGCTGTCTTCCTACTTTTCCATCCCCTCTTCTATCAGCACTTGTCATGCTCTACTGTTCAAAACTAAAAATAAATCATCTTTATTATATATTGATTCAGGTTCAAAAGGGACTTTTTCAAGACATCTTACTGAAATAATAATGAAGTTAGTGTCAAGACACATATATAAACTTACGTGGTAATAAACGCTGATTCTCCAAACTGATTATTAAATAAGCAGGTGTTAATTAATGGTACAATTATTTATTGTAGTAATAAATTCAGAACGAAAAGTCAAATTGCGCCAAACAGATCTCAATATTTCCAAAATTTTTAACATGATTTCTTCAAGTTTATCCTCACTCTCTTTCCAGTCTTTTGTATGTGATAACTCATATGTAAACTTGATAAATTCTCAGATAAAAAATTTGATACAAACCTATTACACATATCTTTGACTCTTAATATAGGAACAGGTTTCATCAATCTTACAGGTTTCTAATATATGGAACATAATATTTCCAACATATATAGGCAAATATTAGTTTTACTGATTCTACTAAAGTACTACGTGTTAATTAAGTTCGATAAATATATACCATAAATGCCTTTTTTAAATTTTCCAATAATCGCTGAACAAGATTTGAGTTATCTTTAATGATTTGGTTAACTAGAGGGTCCTTCCAAGTTAATTCTTGAACTGAAATTTCATTTACACTAGAATATAAATGTTGATAAAGAGGCGTGAATTCCTTTCTAAGTTTATTTTCAACTTATTTACATTATTCTCAATTTGATCTGAACCCAAAGGTGTTTTTTTATCTGTCTTGATTGTTCTCATGTCATACAAATAATTAACCCCTTTAAAAACATTATTAAACTAATAAAATAAATAGTACGTTAGATTTCAGGAATATAAAAATTTTCATTATTAAAATAACGCAGAATTATCGGTGCATATGTAAAGTTTATATCTTTGTGTGGCCATCATGTGGATAAAACTCTATGTGATACTATAAATCAACACAATAACTTATGCCTTAAACATTCCTTCAACGAGACAATAGATTTTTCTCATAGTAGGTTTCATGAAATGAGGATGCTCTGCATCTAGTAGAATGCTATATCCTGCGTAATAGACTATAGTTTAAACATTCCTTCACTATAAGCAAGTGTCTATCGACAAGTGAGCTAAATGAAATGAGTATACATAAGTAATAGCTAGGTATGATAATACCCTTATTCTATAAAAAATAATTTGACTATTTATTCAGTATTCATTTTTTGAATGAATCACACAATATCGTCATATAATACAATTTCAAAAATAAATTTTTATATAAATCTAACCTGTGGTAGAATTCAGAAAATTCTTAATTGACGATCTGAACTATCTATAAATACATTACTAGCTGATCCACTACTTGTTCCACAATTGTTTTTAATTCATTTTGTTCAATCTAGCGATCTTCTTTTATTCCAAGATAAACAATAGATATAGCATTTATTTTCTTGTTTTCAGCAGTTATCAAAAATTCATAAATTTTGTTATATAATTCAGTAGATATTTTATGTGTTAATTTGTGATAAGAAAAATATTAGTTTTGTTAGGTAATAAAGACACAAATAAAACTTTCAACAATCGCTATACTCTCCTTTTAACACTTCTTGTTATTTTGTTTTTAGTATCTCAACCCATAAATTAAGAAGTCAATATATGCATGAGAACAAAGAATATGTATATGTTTCATGATGAGTTATTTAGATATAGGTAAAGAAGTTCACAATACTTTTCTTTTACCACTTTTTTTTATATTCTTTTATAACGCACTGAAAAATAGATTAGGAAAAAAAGGTAGCATATGCACAAGAATAAAGAGTATGTACATATCTCGAGTCGATTATTCAAACCAGGTTATCGATATTCCTATTTGTAAAAGGTACAACATAGTGCTTTAGTTTTGTGATAAATATAAATAGTAGAGCAGTAAAACTAATAAAAGTATAAAAAATAATGATATATATCTGCTTCTGAAATATTTTTCACATAGATATGCAGAGTGTAAGGGGCACTAATTAAATTTGGTAATCGGTATATCACATGACCAGATAATATATGCAAGTTCTAAATTCTTTCTATAGTACACTCACCTAGCAAAAGTATCCGACCACTTAAAAATTATTAATTACAAAGTAAATTTTTATCCGTTAATAACTC